AAGGGTATTTTCGTCTTTCAGGATGAACGAGTATTTTGGTAATCTCGTAGTGCAATTAAATTTGCCGAGATTGTTGCCTTTATTTAATTTGATATTAAAATCAAATTAGTGAGATTATATTTAAATATATCTATGCATATATTTAAATGAATTATTATTATTAATTAAATGTTAATATATTATTATATATTAATGGATTTTAATTATAATAATAATTAATTAATTTAAAATACCAATTACATGATGTTTGGTTGCAAGGGTGAACCAGGGTTGGAGCCCATCGCTATTCTTAAATGGAATAGGGTTTTCATTGTTGCACTATATAAGTGCAACTTAAAATTAAAACAAGTGTGATATTCATTCAATTAAAAACCCTAGCCACCTTCTCTCTCTCTCTCTCTCTCTCTCTCTCTCTCTCTCTCTCTCTCTCTCACGTTTTCGCTCCTTGAGTGAAAGGAAATTTTTCCTTTTGATTGTTCTTGATTCTTGATGCTGGCAATTGTTCTAGGAAAACAATTGTCGGTTCTTCAGATTATCTTCGTGTGGATTTCCGTGAGTGCAATCCTACATTGGATCGATTAATGAACAGTATCTGGTGAACAGTTGCTGGTGAACAGTGTTCGTGAGCAAAGTTAGAGATATTCAGAGGAGCCTCCAAACGTTGGTATGAACTAAATCCTTGTATGGATTTGTTTTTACACATATTTTTATCTTACATTTTTAGTTTATGCATGAAAACGTTATAATCTATACTCGGATCTTGGTTCGTGTAATTGATCGATTTGTTTTAAATATTACGTTTTTCTGCTATGCGAATCCGGTTAGTTACTTACACTATATGCATGTTTCATAACCATATTATCGAACCACAATTAAAAAATTAATAAATATATTGTCACATCATCATATCATCTCTGTATTTGATACTTGACAAAATATTTATTGTCCATCATTTGAAAATGTATCAATAAGATTTTATTATTAGTAAATCACATTGTTTCTTTATCATAATAACTCAACATCTTGCCGAATCATTATTAACTACCTAACTAATATGCTACGCACTTAACAAAATATTTATTACAATTTTCTTTAATATTGTACAGATACTCTACTAATGTTTCGTATTACCTTATCCAAATTATTATTAACACTTTCTCGATCGACACATTTATTTATTACCAGATGTCTGTTCATATTCCACCTCTTCGTATCCTGTACTCCTATAAATATTATTTTGATACTTGACAAAATATTTATTTTCCATCCTTTGAAAATGTATCGATAAGATTTTATTATTAGTAAATCACATTGTTTCTTTATCATAATAACTCAACATCTTGCCGAACCATTATTAGCTACTTAACTAATATGCTACACACTTAACAAAATATTTATTACGATTTTCTTTAATATTGTACAGATAGTCTACTAACGTTTCATATTACCTTTTCCAAACAATTATTAACCCTTTTTTGATCGACACGTTTATTTATTACCAAATGTCTGTTCATAGTCCACCTTTTTGTATCCTATTCTCCTATAAATATTACTCTGACATCAATCACCCATTTAACTTTCTCCAGATACTATTCACTGTAATTGTTCATTTCTTCTCCAAAACTTAATTCGAAAATGGCTGACAAAACATCATGACCAGAAGGATCTGCAACGAATACCAGCAACGACCTTAACAACAATAATTCTCCACCGAGGTAACCAGAAGGTATAAACATTACACATCTTTTGTATCCTAAATTACAAAATCACAAACAAAACCATGATACATATTTGCGGGGATATAAAAACCACAAAATTTTTTTTTTTTCTTGATATGTCGAGAGTTCATCTGATAATTATATTTACACATTCATGTTACCGTTTCCATATATTTATAAAAATTGATTCTATATTGTTTTTGCAATTGGTTTAGACATTTTTCAGGGAATGCCGAAATTGAGGGAGATTTTCAAAAAAGTTGAGACCAATCTGGATGATCTACATACTGCAAGAGACAAATTCGTAGAAGTCATTGACCAACTGTTACAAATCATAGAATCTGCCATGGATGTTATTTATAACCTAAACAAAAAGAGAGTATGCATATGCACTTGAACAACTATAAGAAAAGTAGAAAATAAAGTCTAGATTGTCCAAATCCACTTCACAATATAAAAAAACGATGTACTTATTTCTTTTATAATAAAAGTATTATTCTCTATATTCGATTTTATCTTGATTTTGGTGTTGATTTTATTCTTCCATCTTCACACATTGGATGAGTACTAACAATAATTATATAAGTACATTACATAGACATTCCAAAAATCTAACCATTTTTAAGAAAAACGTATAAAGATGGAAATTAGTCTGTTTTCAAACCTTAGCTTGGAAAGAATCCTATAATGTGAGAAAAACAGTCAATATCAAACTTGAAACTGAACTCAATATAAATTTTAAGTTCAAATAATTGATCTTCATATTATTAATTGATATTAATAATTATAAAAGTACAATTATTAATTTTATGTTAACACAACTCAATACATATACAAATGTTATATTTACTCTAAAACTTGTACATGTATAAAAGTTATTTTTACAACTTATTCCAAAAATATTAAATAAACATACCCGCGCAACGCGCGGGCCCCATGTCTAATGTAAATATCATATTTAACACTACAATTTATAAAAAAACAACAAAGTTTCACAAAAACTAATTACACATTACTTATATATCCAATTCCTTTTGCCGAATAGTTGAATTTTTGGATTTGCGACCACACCTTTTCCTTGGTTTTGATTGACAAGGTATATCCACTGCCTTTTCAACATATTTTGAACTAAAAAACATATCCTTCCATTTCTCCACAAATCCAGAATATGATTTAACATGTTTCTCATGCTACAATAAAATTAAATATTTGTAAGTTATTTATCCAAAAATATAAAAAATTTATTAGAATAAAATTGTTCTATAATATAATCAAACACATATGTGTTATGCAAAAACACCTTCCAAACAACACTAATTAAAAAACATGAATCCTGAATAAAAACAATTCTATAAATCAGACAAATATAAAAGCTATAACAAACATACCACTTCAAGTTTACCAAGCGAGTCTTTAAATCAAGTTTATGGTTCTCCTGAGTTAAAATTTCAATTAGTTTAACAAAACAACATCAAATAAAAAATAAATAAAACAATTAAATCAGTACAATAATGAAAATCCATATAAAAAACAATACTTTTACCACTATGCTGTTAATACCTCTTTCTACGAACTAAAGTATAAACTTCGATATTTGAATTGACAGGTATAAGAATTATCAAGAGAAGTAAGCTTGCTTTGTTTACTTTCTATCAGTTCAATCAAGTAATCAATTTTTTGTTCCAGAGTTTTGTTTTTCCTATTGGACTGAGAACTCTCCGTAGTCACATATCCTGGTCGTTGATATTCTTCTTCACTTTCACTATAAACAACAGAATCAATAAGACGCTGAATATCTTTATTTCGCTTTTCAAAATCTGTTTCTTGAAAACGAACAGAGCGTCTAGGATTAACATTAACAAGGTGCTTTCCTTTCTTCTACACTTGATTTGAGGTTGACATGCTATCAACAATACCAGAACAAAAACAAAAGCCAAATATAAAATCAATCTTGCAAAACTATAAAAGCCCAAACATATACTTAATCATCACTCTCTTTACCCGCTGCATATCAAACACAACTTTACAATATAATATGAACAATATTACAATAACTCAAACAATAAAAAAAAACCAAATAATGCTTCACTTTCTTCAACCCTTTATTTAGATCTCCATGCTACAATCAAATTTCAAAAATCAATCTTGCAAAACTATAAAAGCCCAAACAAATATTTAATCCTCACTGTCATTATCTAATGTATATCAAACAAAGCTACACAATATAATATAAACCACAGATAAACAAATCAAACAATAAAAAAAGAACGAAAACAAAGAGTTATGAACAAAAAAAGAAAAAGGGACGAAATAAATATTACTTACATTCTTACAAAATATTGTTTAGATACTGCTGAAGCTTTAAACAAACAAAAAACAGTAGTGGAAGAAATCGAAAAAAAACAAAAATAGATACAAGACGGAGAGGTAGAGATGATGACCATGTACTGAAGAATACCCTAAGTAAATAGTAAACAAATTTGAAATAAAACCCGGCCAAACAATTCATACAACAGTAAAAAAGTTGAAATAAAACTCGGCCCGACAACTAAAAAAGCATTAACTATCCGGTCTTTTGAATTAAATATATTTAACAATATATATCCACTATAATTAATTTTAGCAAATTGGATTACATACTAAGTATATATAAATGTGTAATAATGAAAGAAATTACTATTATTAATTCTATTATCCAGTATATCAAAAAATACATACAATAAAATATTGTTTTTTCACATAAAATTAATATGTAATTAAAATAAAATATTATTCATTAATAGAATATGAAAATCTTTTATCCAGTATATCAAAAAATGCTTGCAATAAAATATTGTTTTTTCACATAAAATTCATAAGTAAATAAACAATCCAAAATATAATATGACCAAATCCAGTTTCAAAAGCAACCTGCGCAATGCGCAGGCCTTAAACTAGTTAATATTATAAATTCAAATAAAAATCTCTTAACTACAATAACAAACCAACCCTAAAAAAGTTACAGAAATCAAAATCGCAACTTGACCCGAACCCGAATGGAAATCGTCCGACCCGGTAAGGGTCCAAGTACGGCCCACAAATTGACAGGTGGTCCATCCTCTCTGAAGGGCCCCCACCAAATCTCAAAGGAAGTACATAACATCCTCTCATACATTCAGTAGCATGAGATTATAGCCCATTATTGCACACGCAAAGCAACGATTATTATTATTATTTAATTCCAAATTCGAAGAAACGAAACAGAGAACAGTCACTGTCCATCCTTCTGCTTTGCCTCTTAAACGAATTACAAAATTAAAACAAAATCCATTTCAAATTTTGAATTTCTGTATCGATGAACCAGAGAAAGCTTCTTCTTCACCAAAGAGTCGAGGTATTTTTATTTATTTTTTAATAAATTCAAGTTTATGTTGGTTCAAGTTTTATTTTATTTTTGGTTTTCTTGGGTGTAATTTGATGCAATTTGTATTTTTTCTGTATGCATTTGATAGATTTTATCGGTGTGTTATATGTTGTGTTGATTTGTAATGAAATATTTGAATTTTATTTTTAATTTCGTGTTTTTAATTTTTTATTGCGTTTTTCATTTTTGTACACGCTCAAACAGTAATGTTGTTATCCGGGTAATGTTTAGTGTTTGATAATTCTTTATATTATTGTCCTATGTAGTGAAAATTATATGGGTTAGCAGTTTCTGAGTCGAATTTGTGATTTCTTTGAGTTGGATTGGTTTAGTTCCGCAATTTGAGTCAATCTCTCCATTTCTTTTAATAAAAATGTTAATTCCATTGTTTTGATTTATAATTTTGTTTTGTTGAATTTGCTTCAATTTGAAGTGTTCTTTTTTTATTTTTTTGGAATTATATGTTTTATTGTATTTGTTTCTCCTTCACGCACCGAAACAGTAATTTTATCATCTGGGTATCTGTTAATGTTAGACAATTGCTTAATTATTTTGTTTTATGAATTGAGAGCTATCTGGGTTTGTAGTATCTGAGTTGATTTTTTTTTTAATTGGTGAGTTGGATTTGTTTAGGTTCGACAATTTGAGGAAGGGTTAAGGGGCTCATGGCATCCTGGTGTGGTTGTTGGGGTTTCAGACTTATGCCGTATGGTTGAATATGATGAACTCCTATGTGAAACTGGTGACTTGAAGCTCATTGAGTCAATTCCAGTCACTGAGGCAATTGATGGCCTCCATCGCCGCCGCCATGTTTCCTCCACCTATCGTGGACGTATTCGACCTCCACCTCCCTTGCCACAAGTTGATTCTAGTGAGAAATTTGGTTTTGGAGTTTGTGTTGATGCTTGGTTTGAGGATGCATGGTGGGAAGGTGTTATTTTTGATTGTGATCATGATGCAAATGAACGTTGTGTGTTTTTTCCTGATGAGGTTGAAGAATGCAAATTCAGTGTGAGTCAGTTGCGTGTAGCTCGTGAATGGGATGAGTTCTTGGGGGTTTGGAAGGACCGGGGTGTGTGGATACTAGTGCAGTTGGCTAGGGATCTTGAAGGAGATGTTCCATTGTCTAAGTTTGTAAAGAAGATTTGGTCTGCCTTGCGGTTAAATTATGGATTTATGAAGATGATTTCAGAGTGGCCGTGCGGTGTTCGCTCTGTGTGGAATAGATACTTCATGGATGTTGTTTATGAAATTGCAGTTAAATTGAGTCGGCGAGATCTAGGTTATCGCAAAATCTTGTCATACTTGGTGGGAAAGAAGGGAAATAAATCAAAGGATTCCCAACATGCTAGTTCAAATTCTTTTCTATGTGATTCTCTAATTCAAGCAAGAAATCGCAAAGCTATGTCATATAAAGTCAGAAAGAAAGGAAATAAATCGAAAGGAAATAAATCAAAGGATTCTCAGCATGCTGTGTTAAATTCTCATCTATGTGATTCTCTGGTTAAGGTAAGAAATCACAATGAATTCAAGGTTACCAGAGCAAGTCAAAAAGGAGGAGAAGATTCTCATGGTAAATGCAATAAAAAGCAGCAGTCACCAAGTTCCAAATCGGAAGATAAGAAACAGTCCATAACAAATACAACTGATCAGAATGGTTTTGAGGCTAATAATCTGTGTAGGGAAAAGGATATGACAACTGGTCCTTCATTCATAGAGAATACTACTGTTGGCAAAGGTGTCTATGATAGAAGTTCCAATTCTGGTTCATGTTTACACCACGTAGTAAATTGTGTTTCTTTTCCTACACAAAAGAAGCCTGATCAGGTAGAATCCAATGTAGAGAAGCTAAATTCTGCTGTAGCATGTGAAGGTGACCATAATAAGCTGCTCGCAGATAGTTCAAGAGAGGAGAAAACTGCTCAGTGTTTGCATCACGTTCAAAAATATCAATCAGTAAAAAGACGAAGAACTTTGAGAAAGAGAACTTTTAACAATAAACTTGTTATGGTTTTTACTGATTGTTTGGAGAAGCAGAAGGACAAGAAGGCATCTTTTTTTGTTGTTCATAAGAGAAGGAACTGCTCAATAATGAAAAAGAGGGAGTTGAAGAAGTCTCAACAAGTCAATTCAAAACTAAAGTTAACGCATAAGGTTCAAGAGCAAGGGCTGAATGCTGTTCGGACAAGGAATTCTTTATTTTCTAATTCCTGTCACCCAACTATGCCATTTGAGAAATATGGTAAAAATTTTAGGCTTAAAGATATGGTGTCTAATTCTAGAAAGCGTAAGATGAAGCGAGGATATTGTAGTGGTCAACTAAGGGACACAATCTGTAGTGTTTGCCACCATTGGGGAGACCTTATCCTTTGTGATCACTGCCCTTCTTCGTATCATTTGAGTTGCCTTGACCTCAAGGTGTGTTTTCATTTTCTATATTATTGATCTGATTCCTTTGATAATTTTGTATTCATTATGCGGCTAATCTAATTACAATTGAAAATCTGTAATCATGACTTGAATGTAATGAACCGGTTTTATGTTACTTGATTTTAAAAGTTTTAGAACTGAAAACTAACTAGGTAATTTATCATGCTTTTTTTTTTCTATAGAATAATGCTAGGGTTTGTTACTCACTAAATCTATGCATTTATCCAATTTTTAAATCTTGTTCTTATTCTTGGTAGTCATAGTTGACTGAATTTTTCTATGCAACTAAACAATTGTGGTCATGGCCAATGTCAATTATATTTGTTGCATGTATGCAGATTCATTTGATTANTGGATGCAAGGATTAATTTAGGAATTAATTTTCGTTTATTTAATCTTGGGTTTTTTTATATGTTTTAATTATCATTAGATTCTTTAGTCTTTTACTTATTTAAGGTTTATTTATGCCCAATTCGCTTGTACTTAGGCCCAACTCATTTTTCAATTAGCTAGGGTTTTCTTTTAGGGTTTGTTGCTTATAAAAAGGAGCCGCCATGTTATTTTTGGGGACAGATTATTATCAATTGAAGTTTATTTCAGAAAGCTATTTGCTTTGTCTTCTTGTGTTCTTGATTGAATGCTTAAATCTCGACTTATCAAACGAAGTAATCAACCTTTGTGGCGTCTCAAGATTAGGGTTTTAAGGACTTAGTTTCCTTAGGGTTCTAATTCGATCATCCTCAACACGTTCCTAGGAAAACAACTTGTTCCTATTCTATTAGATTGTTATTGAGTTTGAATTGGGTAGTAATTAAGTTGGTATTCTTATTGAAAATCTGAAAATTTTCAAAAAAAATATATTTTTTTTTGCAGTGCTGATGTCACCGTTCCAACCGACCGGTCCAACTAGTTGGACCGATTGACCCGTGACCCGGGCAGTGAAGTGGGTTGCCCTCTGGTCCGGGTTTTAAAACAATGCAAAATAGTAGGATGAACATCCAATGGGAAAAAAAAAAAAAAAGTAATTTATGTCTATGAGGTCCAGGTTTCAGTATTTGGAAGTTGTTATAGTTAATGTACAAGAAATGGAAGCTCTTGAGACGAATATTCAAGTGTAACTTTGGAAGCTTTTGAGAGTATAGAAGAGAGGGTTAAAGAGTTTAGAGAAATGGAAGAAAAAGATGATGTGTTGCAAGTTTATTCTAGGCTTCTTAGCTTGCATTTTCATCTCATACATTGTAAACTAATGTTGTTAAAATATGCAATGCAATGTGAGATAGAAATTGTCCTTGATAATGTTTTCAAATATATTGTAACCACCTCATTTAGAAGATAAATGAACAAAATAGACAATAAGCAGATAACTTAAACAATAAACCAAGATCTTAAAAACAACCATCATTCATTAATGGGAACATAATCTTCAATATTGTTACATATAGAACAAAGTGTTTCATGTCAACACTGACCAAAAGAAAGTACTCAATGATAAGATTGTGATCTAAATAATACATATGGATCACACCAAAAAATAATTTTACAGCAGTTTTCCATTCCCTATACCAAATCAAATCAATCCTAGTATATGTGCTATATATCCAAACAACTTATAACCCAATTACCATTGGCAAAAAAAAAAACTAACCGATCAATTGTTGCTCTAGAAATAACCTATGCCATCATCCACTGATTTGCTCTAGGTTNCGTGGGTGCAACTCCTCCTCCTCGCCGCGGCGAAGATTATTCTTCGCCCCGGCGAAGATTGGATTTCCAAACTTCACCAAAATTCAACCAATTTCAAGGTAACCAATCAACCAACTCAACATACATGAACAAATAAACTCAATTGAAGCTGAAACAGTAAACTTTTAACTAATACAGCAAATCTTAAATACGTACCTCAAGTGGGATATTACAAATTTGCTAGTTGCTAAAAAAAAATTTCCACGTCTAAACAAAAATTTAGACGCGCAAACAATCTACGATAGCAATTCTGCAACTACGTGACGACTACGAAATTTAGACGCGAAATATGGTTTAGCGTCTAAATTTTACTTTCTACGTCTAATTTTGCTAGACGCCGAAAGGCATTTTTCTTGTAGTGACACTTCTCTTGCTCAAAATCAACAAAGACGACGCCTCTCGCTTTGTAAAGATATTCCCATTGTCTTTATTTGATGAATCTATTGCTTTGATGCATAATTTGTTCATTGAATTTGTATGTAAAAAACACTTGCACCAAATGTTTTGTTATTAATTATTATGTATTTTGTCATTTAATTTGTAATGGATGAACACATCATGTTTGGAGACTTTGGATTGTAGTTTAATCATGTTGGGATTGTAATGGAGATCAAGGTGCTGACCAAATTGATGTTCCCAAATATTCTCAAGATCCTTTGCAAGGAATTGGCGGTCCAATGACTAGGGCAAAGACAAAAAGGATGAAAGAGGCTTTGCAAGACTTGATCATGGAAGTGCAATACAAAGAGGCTGTACTAGAAGACTCTAAGACTAAATTCGAAGATTTCAAAGCTTCACCAAGGATGGCCTATTATCTTTTTATGCAAGGGGTAGATTCGAAAGATCAAGTTGGATGCAAGGATTAATTTAGGAATTAATTTTCGTTTATTTAATCTTGGGTTTTTTTATATGTTTTAATTATCATTAGATTCTTTAGTCTTTTACTTATTTAAGGTTTATTTATGCCCAATTCGCTTGTACTTAGGCCCAACTCATTTTTCAATTAGCTAGGGTTTTCTTTTAGGGTTTGTTGCTTATAAAAAGGAGCCGCCATGTTATTTTTGGGGACAGATTATTATCAATTGAAGTTTATTTCAGAAAGCTATTTGCTTTGTCTTCTTGTGTTCTTGATTGAATGCTTAAATCTCGACTTATCAAACGAAGTAATCAACCTTTGTGGCGTCTCAAGATTAGGGTTTTAAGGACTTAGTTTCCTTAGGGTTCTAATTCGATCATCCTCAACACGTTCCTAGGAAAACAACTTGTTCCTATTCTATTAGATTGTTATTGAGTTTGAATTGGGTAGTAATTAAGTTGGTATTCTTATTGAAAATCTGAAAATTTTCAAAAAAAATATATTTTTTTTTGCAGTGCTGATGTCACCGTTCCAACCGACCGGTCCAACTAGTTGGACCGATTGACCCGTGACCCGGGCAGTGAAGTGGGTTGCCCTCTGGTCCGGGTTTTAAAACAATGCAAAATAGTAGGATGAACATCCAATGGGAAAAAAAAAAAAAAAGTAATTTATGTCTATGAGGTCCAGGTTTCAGTATTTGGAAGTTGTTATAGTTAATGTACAAGAAATGGAAGCTCTTGAGACGAATATTCAAGTGTAACTTTGGAAGCTTTTGAGAGTATAGAAGAGAGGGTTAAAGAGTTTAGAGAAATGGAAGAAAAAGATGATGTGTTGCAAGTTTATTCTAGGCTTCTTAGCTTGCATTTTCATCTCATACATTGTAAACTAATGTTGTTAAAATATGCAATGCAATGTGAGATAGAAATTGTCCTTGATAATGTTTTCAAATATATTGTAACCACCTCATTTAGAAGATAAATGAACAAAATAGACAATAAGCAGATAACTTAAACAATAAACCAAGATCTTAAAAACAACCATCATTCATTAATGGGAACATAATCTTCAATATTGTTACATATAGAACAAAGTGTTTCATGTCAACACTGACCAAAAGAAAGTACTCAATGATAAGATTGTGATCTAAATAATACATATGGATCACACCAAAAAATAATTTTACAGCAGTTTTCCATTCCCTATACCAAATCAAATCAATCCTAGTATATGTGCTATATATCCAAACAACTTATAACCAATTACCATTGGCAAAAAAAAAAAAAAAAAAAAAAAAAAAAAAAAAAACAATCAATTGTTGCATTAGAAATAACCTATATCGTCATCCATTGATTTGCTCTAGGTTGTCCATTTGCTCTATGACCTATTAATAAGATAACAAAAACATATCACGGAACCTTATACTTAAATGACATTAACACTAGTTTCCTAATATTTGCCTTTTGAGTGTGATAAGCATGACACTTTACTTGAAAAGGGCATTGAATCATTATGGAACTCTATAACAACAGAACCAAAAATCACTTCAACTCATATGTAGATGAATACTAAATTCAACATAATAGTATTCATTTCACTAAACTTGTTTTAGAGGGCTGTTGAGCAGTCCTTTGACTTGAAGAAGCTGCATTCCTTTGACTTAAAGAAGTTGCATTCCTTTGACTTAAAGTTTCTACATTCCTCTAACTTGAAAAAGCTGCAGTCATTGTTGTTGAAAATGTTATTCTTTTAATTTTATTTGCATCAGTTGCAAGATGTCTTGCTATGCCCCATAACATTACAAAAACCACACTTGTATTGCGGAAATTCTTCTTTTTTTGATTCCTCAGTTCGATCTCTTCTCCAATCTTGGTAAGCTTGTATAGTGGCCATATTTTATACTTTCAATTTGCACCCAAGTCTCCTTGTCATATTACTAATTGGTTATATCAGTTCTTATTTTCTTACCACAACAGCCTACAAAGTTTTAGTTTCTTTCAAGTTACCCCCATATAGAAAAATCAATTCTTCAACTTTAATAAAAGAAATAGCGGGGCATTTCATTTTTCAACCTATTTTGAATTTAATTTTTTATATTTTTTCTTTTAAAGATGTTTATTTTATTGTTTATTACTTTATAATTTAGTAATTACTAAAATAAGTATTTATAAATATTAACATTTGTAGATTAGTTGACCAACATGGACCGGTCATTGATGAACATTGGCTGGTTAACTAGTCCTTGACCACCATTGATCCGCCGTTGACTAGCATTGATCAACATTGATCACTGTTGACTAGCGATTGACCAGCCACTAAGTTTTGATTTTTTTTTAGCTAGAATATTTATTGTTAAAGTAAAAAAAAAAGAAAAAAGAATTTTTTATTATTTTATTTACATAATTAGTTTCATCATTGTCACCCAACTGAGAAGTCACAAGGCCATAGATGGTCCAAGCCACAGGAGAAAGCCAATAGTACCACCTTGACCACACAGGAAGTTGCTGCAACATATCGTAAGGAGTGTGAATTTTTTATGAAAGAGAGAAATGATATTAAACTAGAATTATTTTGAGAAAAGTACGAGATTTTCAAGTTGGTTATAGTTCACAAATTCTAAATGTTTCTGAAGCAAATACTAATGTTTTGGGAAAACTGGGAATGAGT